CTCTCGTCCCGTCTCGTTGTATCACTCGAGGTTCAAGAGTTAAGGATCAGTATATGAGAGGGGATTTCTCTCCCTCCCTCCCCCTCTCTCCCTCCCCCTCTTCTACTGACTCCGTAGAAAATCACATTAACTTCTAGAAACGTCTAGTGCGCTGCAGCTGCGCCCGGTCTTCTATTCTCATCCCGACTTACGCAGGAAGATCCGGAGCAGCACAGTGCACAGGACCGAGGCTGTTGCAGTGACTGTGTGTGGGCAGCATTCCTGGTTCTTTACGGGCGTTAACGTTCTTCTTCTCCCGGGATTGTTTTACCTTCGAGACAGAGACCCACTTCACACCCAGACATGTGAGTTAATGGAAGTTCAAGTGATGAACCGATGGAGGGAAAGTGCAGTGGAACAACACGCTTAGCTAGCTAGTTAGCGTTAGCCGCCTGTGAACATGCTTTCGCCAAGGCGGGAGGTTGGCCTTTCCCCAGTGAACTGTTAGCTAACGACCACTCGCTGCTTCGTGGACCGGGTTTTAAAACCACTGTTCAGCACCGCAGCTATTACCGCAGAACCGGGTTCTCTGTATCAGACGCCTAGTGTTACCCGGGGTTCGAGTCAGGTGCACCGCATGGCTGAAGTAAGGTAACGGCCAAAGTCAGCGTTGTTAGCTTGACTAGCAGAGTGTTCATTGATCACCAGGTTAGCACCGTGTCAGTGTCAGGTGTCGGGATATCGCCGGCTAACAGGAAAAACTGGGACTTTCACCACGTTGCAACGAGCAGCTAGCTCGATCGCAAAGTTGTGAAGGGAGCGAGCGACGATTAGCCAACATTTGTCCAGGGCTAGCTTCATGTTGGTCCGCGATCATCTGTAAGAGGATTTGCTTAATGACGCCATCAGTGAAATGCTGAGAGAATAATACCGTCATTAAATACACAGCGCATGTTCTAATACCAATGAAAACTAAATTTAAAACCCACACTTCAATCATCAGAGGTTTGTGGTTATTGATTAGTTGTAAACACAGATATGCACTTGTACTGCAGATCTGCAGCTGAGTGAGGTTTTAATCACTCACTTTGCTAAGGGGGAATCACATTAGCATTTAAGTGTCCAATAAAAAAAACATGGCTTCTTTGTGGTTCCTCACGTCATGTCTTACAGCTGCACCTTTAAAGTTAGACTTTGGCCTAAGGTGATGTAATCAACTTTTTTCTTTCTCTCCATCAGCTGCTCTAAACATTATTTTTTACGTTTTTTTTTTTTATCCAATTAAACCAAGGAAATGTGTAAATCCACGCAAATGAAAAGCTGGATCTTATTCTATTATGTCAGGAATTGCAAATGAG